CTAATCACATTTCAACTAATAAAAAAAACATAAAATTAATAAATTATTTATTTAAATCATAAATAGCATTTATTTTTAGTCAAAAAATAACATTTATTTTGAAATAAAATTTTACTCTACCACTAACTAAATTGAAACATAAGGAATAATAGTTTTTTTTTTTGTCAACATAAGGAATAATAGTTAACAATGTCATATAGGCTCTTACGAGTTGTCGCCACTAGCGTTAATATAGTAGCAAAAAAAACATTTTACTCTCATTTTAGCTACTGTGTAAACCAATCAGGTAAAAAAAGTTTTTTATCAATTTTTATATGTTTTACGCTAGTTGCGGTATAATCAAAGGTAAATTAGCTTATTTTTTCCTCCTAATTATATGGGAGAGAGTCAATTAACGCTAGGTGTGATTTTTATTTTATTGTTTTATTCTGGATTTTTTTCTTCTCCAGTTTACTTCAATATCTACCAATCACAACCATAGTGTTCAGATCTTATATCAAAGATCGTCACATATGGATCACAATTTAAAAATATGTGTCAGGATGGATTAGTAAATATAACATGTATTCGTATGCGCAATATTGCACATATCATCTGTACTACTACTAGTATCTCTTTGACACTTGGGAATCAAATATTGTTTTTTGGGAACATGATATTAAAAATTAACGTGATCAAAATAAATTCGTGGATCTATGAAAAAGTCTAGAATAATTTCTAAAAAAAATGTAATCCACAAATAAATCTTATCTATATATATAAATAGGTCTAAAAATGGATATATATTCGTGTAAATATTCAAGAATATTGTGATTTAGTTTCGCATGTGATTGAATAAAATGTTGTAATTAAGGATAAGATAATAAACCTTTGCTAGGGAGGGTTTAGATATTGAGTAAAAAGAAACGAGTTGTTGAGTTTCGGTCTTTTAAATGAGTATAATTTATTTTTAGAATGAGTATAGTCTAGAAATGAAAGGCAGCAATACAATACAAGACTTTTTAGCTACAGCTACACCACATACAATTAGTCCTCAACACACTTTTTACGTAAGCCTGATCACTTTCCGCAAGCTTTAACTTTTTCCAAAAAGAAAAGAAAGTATAATCTGTTTTGATAAATACGGACTCGTGCGGTTGGAATGTGTCATGTGTGTTATTCTTAGGTTATTTCATTGATTCCTGGATTTGCATTAGTTTATTGTCTTATTGAGAGAGAGTGCCATAAATTGGTTAAAGCTAAAACGTTTCTTCATGTTGAGCAAAAAATATAGACGGGTTGAGGTGGATGCCGTCTAGTCAACACGAAAGTGCTTCGTTATGGAATTAATGGATCGTCATCCACATTCGACTCCCTTTGGTGCACTTAATATGAGGGAAGCTTCATGATTTGGTTTGCAACAAGAAGCTAATTTGATTATCTACATAACTTTATTCTTTCAGTCTTTGAAAATTCCAAACAAAGGATGCACAATTTGTAAAGTAGTTGGTTGACGGAATGTATTTTACATCCGTACAAAAACAATATTAGATAAAGTTTTGTTGTATAAAAATATAATATAGATAATTTTTGAGGAGTAAAAGTTGCCGAACCATATTGAATTCATTTATATTCTCATCTTATACATCCCCCATAATCATACCTAGACTAAGACTATTACAAGATAATTTATGTGACGTAAAGCTAGTGACTTTCTAATTATAGAATAAAGGAAAATCATCACATGTTCAAAGCAACAAAGATACAAAATCGTAAATTTGACCACATTTTCCGATTAGGGCACTGATCATTTGGTTGTTTTGTATTGCATAATGGGGAAAACTGACCAGGATGACCACGTTCATATTATAAACTTTAAACTTGGTTACCATTATATATAATAGGGTGAAATTGAAAAACTCACCATCAAAAGTTAATAATTAACAGTTAGATCTGATTTTCTTTAAGAAAAGAATGCTATTTTAACATAGTCTGCTTGCTAGTATGTACGTATAGACGTATAGTGTATGTTTGCATTGCTGTATGTACTGACGTGCAGGCATCATATATGTGTACGTCTATGTACGTGTAAGGTTTTATATGTAGAGATAGGTAACCATGTTCAACTTCGCAAAAAAAAAAGTTAAAGTACTTGAGAAACACTTTAATGAAAAAAAAAATATCCTTAGAATAACTGAAAAAGACATCCACCTATTTGGACAGACATATCAATCAAACTCACATATTTGTATCATTAATTCAATGAATTAATTAAACAGCACCGAATCCCACTGTAGGGTGGTGATTAAAACAATTTGCTAGGATCATATTAATTACGACTCTAATTATATGTTTATTTTGATCAAAATTTTTTTTTATATGTTTATAAGATGTAAGAGTAGAGATTTAGTTCTTTTAGAGTTTGATTGATAAAACATTAGCATAATCATTATGCTCCTTATTATCCCAACATTTATTTGAAAAACATTTACAAAATGTTAATATTTTTTAAATGCTATTTTTTCAATGTTCTCATGTCATTTTTTGGTAGAACATTTACGATCAAAACAAATAAAAATAATAAAAAAATTATTTAATTATTTATTTTAATTTAATAATAAGAAAATTTGTTTATAATAAAAAGTATTTTAAAGATAAAAATGGTGATTAAATATTTTAAACATTTTTAAAATTAAAA